CTGTGGTGATAAGTCCCCTAGGACCCCTTCCTTGGTGGTACAACGGTTAAGAGCGTGGCTACGAACAGAAAAATCCACGGTTTGAGCCCACTAGCGGCTCTGCTGGAGACAAGATCAACTAGTGAGCTGCTCCCATAAAAACGGGAGTCTTTAAAACCCTGTGGGCCAGCTCGCCTCTGTCCTATAGGGTTTGTAGCTATGAGTTAGAATTGACTTGACAGCAAAGAGTTTGGGTTTTCGTCTCATACAAGCTATGGGGGAGTACAGAGGTTCCATGTGATAAGCAATGGACTGCAAAATACAAGGTCCATGGTTTGAGCCTGCCAGCCGCTCCACGGGACAAAGATGAGGCTTTCTGTTCCCGACAAGATTTAAAAAGCCACAGAAACCCTATACATACACAGCACCACACCAGGACTGTCTCTGAAGCCCTTTGAGACAGGTCTATTCTGTCCCGTAGGGTCATTATGAGTCCAAATCAACTGGATGGCAGTGGATTTGGGTTGGAAGTTTCTTTTGTTATGTTAATGACAGCATATCAGAATAGGATGGTCCTAAACCTAATCACTGCTGAGGAGTGACTTAGGCCTTGAATTGGGACTTCTAGTCCTCTGAACTGGGAAAAAAAAAAAATTTCTGTTCTTTGAAACCACCCACTTGTGGGATATTTTGTTATGCCTGCCTAGGTGACTAAGACAATAAAGGCTTTACTTCTGGATAATTAATGTTTGCAGTCATTTTTGTTTATTTAATCCTCAGGTAGCGTAGTGGTTACGAATCGGGTTGCGAACCGTAAGTAAGGTCAGCAGTTCGAAACTACCAACGGTTCCGCGGGAGAAAGATGAGGCGTTCTGCTCCCTTAAAGATTAACAGCCTCGGAAACCCTGTGCAGGGTCGCTATGAGTCGGAACCGACTCCATGGCACATAACAACAACAACAACAACAATCCTCAGGTGGAAGGTCTTGGTATGAAGGTCAGGAGAAGAGGATGAGGTTTGAGGTGACATATTGAATCCCAAGTGTGGACACAGTTGATGGGAGAGAAGAAAGGAGTTGAAGCAAAGCTGAGGAACGTGACTGGTTGAGAAGCAAACCCCCAGAAAACCCGGGAAGAAGCTATAGAGAGCAGGAGGAAGTGAGAATTGGGTCCAAAGAAATAGAAGGCAAGTAAGACAAGGGCTGAAATCAGATTGCAGGTTTCTCAGGAAAGTGGGACCTATTCAGTTCTCACCTAATCCGGTCATCTGACTGGACTACATCTCCTTCTAACAATTTGTGCTTGGAGCCCAATGGGCTTTGTTGTTTCTCCCGCGGAACCGCTGGTAGTTTCGAACTGCTGACCTTGCGTTTCGCAGCCCGATTCGTAACCACAACACTACCAGAGCTCCTTGGCCTTAGGCCATTATTAATGATAGATTGGCTGCCTCCTATGAAGCAGGTTATAATGGGTGTGACCTCCGTCTTTCCACGGTCTCCTATATCATGATTTTTATCAAAAGTGAAAAGTAATGGTCTTCTTAAAATTACCAAAGACAGAGAAGTTAAATAATCTGCCCCACGGTGATTGCTGAGTGCCATTAATTCAGTTTTCAACTCACAACACCCCCGTGTGACAGAGTAGAACGCCCCACAGGGTTTCCCAGGCTGTCATCTATTGTGTCACTATATACTCAAAGGACACTCATCATTTGCACCACAAGTCTGTAAATGTTTACAGAAGCAGAAAGCCTCATCTTTCTTCTGAGGCTGGTGAATTCAAACTGCTGACCTTGAGGTTAGCGGCCCAGCACCCAGAGCAACTGAAAGCATGGAAGTCTAAATCCGCTGAATTCTCACACTTTCTTACAGAGACTTCCCACATTTTTGCACGGTATGCATTTTTCTTTTTGTTGTTGTAAAGTGCTGTCGAGTGGGATCCGATTTATGGTAACCCTCTATAGGGTTTTCAGGAGCAGCTGAGTATGAACCACAAGGTTCACACCCAAGGCCTAATAACACCTCAGAGTGCCCAGGGGCTGCACGGAGGGTCCGATTACAATAGACTTCTGTTGCATCTCTTGCACCTGATAGAGAGTTTCATAGAAATTCAATCATGTTCCCAAGCTCATGCGATAAGATGCCTGGCCCTGCTCCCCGACCTCACTGCCTGGAGCCCTCTCTTTCCCCGCCCTTGCCAGGAACCACTACCCTTACAGTTCTTTTTCTGAGGACACCTGTTCATGAGCACACTAGAATGGGACAAACACATTTTCTTTCCAGATCTTCCGTGTGCTTCTGAAAGACGATTTCGGACCAGTAAAAAGGTGCAATTGTACAAGGTCCTGAACAAACCTCACGCCCCGCAGCAGCCGGCTTGGGAACACCTTGATCTAGGCCTCCCGGCACAGTGAGAGTTACATCCAGCCGGGCCAACCCCTGAGGGGGATCGGCAGTGTGGCCCAATCGCAGCAAGGCAGGGGCGGAGCTCGAAGCTAATTGCGTTCTGTGGGCGCGGCAGGGTTCGGTGGGGGCGGGGCGATGCTCCCAGCTGGCCCTGCCGGAAGGGGCGGGGCTTTGCAGGAGAGGCGGGGTTCGGAGTCCTTGATTCTGAGCAGACGGGGCGCGGTTAAGCGGACGGGGCGGGACTTAAGCCCTGATGGGCGGTGCTCGGAGAACAGGGCAGTGCTTGGTGTGGGCGGGGCGGAGTCGGGGGTGGGGAGGGGCTCGGAATCACCACCTAGCTAGGGCTGTACCGACGGATTGAGGACCCACAAATTGACAGACGACCCACAGGGCCGCAGGGCGTTCCTGGAGCTGGTCGAAGTCAAGCCCGCAGGACCAGGAGGAGCGGAGAGCTGCGCTGGCCGCGTAGACCTGACCCTCTAGACTCGCGTAGGACCCAGTTCCTTCCCCGCCTTTCCCCTGCACCTCCCTCTCCCCCTCTCCCACCCCCGTACCGCTCGTAGACCCGCCCCCCCACCCCCACCCCGTCTGCGTAGACCCGGGCGGCCGCACTGGTGGCGGCAAGAGCACAGGGAGACAGGCCGCCACGATCCGGGCAATGCTGGGAGCTGCGCCCAGCCTGGAGGGAGGATTGTGATCGTGGGGTGAGTGTTAAAAAGAAAGAACCGAATCCTCTTCCGCATGTGTGCGGTGTAAGGACAAACAAACAGTGACTCAAGTCTCGTGACCCGATGACAACCTCACCGTTTACCTTCTAAAAGTAGCTGACAGTGCGCAGTGCGGGAGGTGGTGGCGGTGACAGGGGGAGTTTAAAGAGTTCCCACAGCTGGCCGGATCCCTGAAAGGATGTAAGGAAGGAATGCAAAGGCGGACGTCTCTGTTTACTGCGTGGAAACCTGCTCAGGGCGACCCCATGTGTGCAGAGCCCACCTGTGGTCAGTGGCTGATTTTTCCAGCCATGCTTCATTCATAGAATTTTCATTTCATTTTATTTTTTTGGTAAAAAGATACACAGCACACATACATGGACTCAACTTTCTCCCTGTACCACTCACTGACTTGGAAGACATTCTCACCCTCCCTTCCTGAGTTGTTCCTCCCCATTCACATCAGCTCAGTGTCCCCTAAGGTTCCTACAACATTTTGAGTTCCTACAACCTTACATGAGTCAGCATGGACTCCATGGGAGTTTGAGGGTTGGTTAGATAGTTCTTAAAAGTATATGTAGTTGTAGGTCAGTGTCACCCATTTCAGGAGGTTGTGTATGATCAAAACCGGAAGGTACTGAAGGAAGAAGTCCATGCTGCACTGAAGGCATTGACGAAAATCAGGGCTCCAGGAATTGAAATGTTTCAATAAATGATGCAATGCTGGAAACACTCACTAGTCTATGCCGAGAAATTTGGAAGATGGCTACCTAACCAATTGATTGGAATAGATTCATATCTGTTCCCATTCCAAAGAAAGTAGATCCAACAGAATGTGGAAATTACCAAACACTATCAATATCAATATCAATATCAATATGAAATGCAAGTAAAATTTTGCTGAAGGTGATTCAAAAGCAGTTGTAGCAGTGTATCAACAGGGAAATGGTAAAAAAAAAAAAGTATATGTTGTTGTTAAGCATCAGTTCTGACTCATAGTGACCCAGTATAGGGTTTTCGAGAAGCAGCTGGTGAGCGTGAACCACCAACCTTGTGACCCAAACCGACCTTGTAGTCCAGCGCATTAACCCACAGCGCCACACCAGAACTCCTTAAAAGAATCCTGTACCGGTGGTTCTGCGGGAGAAAGATGAAGCTTTCTGCTTCTGTTAAGATTTGCAGCCACAAAAACCACAGGGTCACTGTGAGTTGGAACTGATTCAACGAACAACACTTAACAACAACAATAATGCTCAAGGCAGACTTTCTTTACTTACACTATTGTCTGGTTTTTAGAAGACTTCAGTGCTAGTTGAAGGTTTAATGAGCTCAGAGATTCATCAGCTTCAACCGTTCCAGAAGTCTGTATTTTACGACAGTTTGAATTTCTGTTCTGCATTTCCCCCCTTTTGATCAGGGTCCTTCCATGGAATCTTTCATCATAATATTCAGTTGTGGTTGTGGGCACCATCCAGTTCTTCTGGTCTCATGGCAGTTAGACATGGAGATAATTATCCACACATCCCATCTCCTCCTCCTGTTCCTGACTTGCCTTCTTCCTCTGTTGCTCCACATAGGGCTTTTGTTTTGTTTTTAATTAAACCACCAGGACTTTCTTTGGAGGCATCTCTGGGAGAATTCAAACCTCCCAATTTTCTGTTAGTAACCCCATAGTTTAGCTGACTGCTGTAGCCTTCAAGGAGTCCGCTGAGTACTCCACAGTTAGTTATCTTCTTAGGACATGCTTACCAAACTCAGCAAGGATTATTATAATTATTTATGCCACAAAATTCTTCAAGCTTGGAAGTCTAGCTTCTGAGATGAGACTCTAACTGATATCGCCCTCCTTCATCTTTTTTTACAGGATTCAACTAATCTACTTGGTGGCACCTAACAGAAACGCAAGCAACATGAAGATTTTATTTGTAGAACCTGCCATTTTCCTCAATGCGTTTGCTATGAGTTTGACTGTACCCCTGACAACACAGTATGTGTACAGACGAATATGGGAGGAGACTAGCAACCACACTATCCCATTTAACAACAGTATTTCTGAGTGTGAGAAAAACAAGACCAGTCCCATTTTTGTATTCCAGGAGGTAAGAAATTAAAATAGCCCTAATATGTAAAGTGGAGACGTGGTGTGGCGCGGTGGGTTAATGTGCTGGACTGTAAGGTCGGTTTGAACCGCATGGTCGGAGGTTCAAGCTCACCAGCCACTGCTCAGAAACTCTATATAGGGTCACTAGGAGTCGGAACCGACTCGATGGCAAGTAACGACAACAACAATATGTAAAATGGAGTCCTGTTGTGACAATGTAAAGTAAGCACCGGACTACAAGGTCAGCTTTTCAAACTTACCAGCCGCTCCACGGATACCCTCTATAGGGTCACTGTGTAGATGTAAAATAGCCCTAATATGGAGTCCTGGTATGGCACTGTGGGATTAACACTGGACTGCTGACTGCAAAGTCAGTGGTTCAAACCCATCAGCCACTCCATGGAAACGCTGTAAAGGGTTGCTATAAGTCTGAACCGACTTCATGGCACATAATTAGCAACAGCAGCATTGCGTAATAAAAAGGGAACTAGGTTTTTGTGGGGTTTGTTTTGTTTTTCCTTTTTATTGTGAATTGCGTGAAAGTTGCTTTTCCTCCAGGTACCTCTGAGTGGACTTGAACTGCTTCCAGCCTTCCTGTCAGCAGCCGTGCTTTTGTGCCTGGGTGTTGCCAAGTCAGCTCTGACTCCAGGTTCTGGGGAGCAACTGTGGCACCCATTTTAGCTCTGAGGACACTGACCTGTTTAGCCAGATGTCCCTCATCAGTGCCCGCCCCAATGTTTGTGTGTCTCCAATAGGAACTTCATTGTCACGCGCCAGCTCGCTTAGGCAGGATTTCACAATAAAGTTGGAACCGAGTCATTGCCACTTAACAACAACCACACATTTGCAAATGGCAATTTCCTCAGCAGAGACCCTAGTGGTGCAGCGGTTAAGTGCTTGGCTGCTAACCGGAAGGTTGAGGGTTTGAACCTGCTCAGCGGCTCTGCGGGACAAAGATTTGACAATCTGCATTCATAAAGACAACACTCTAGGAAGCCCTATGGGGCAATCTCTGTCACCTGGGGTCACTATGAGTTAGAATCGACTTGATGGCACCCAGCTGAACCACAAGGTTGGCGATTCGAAGTCTCCAGCCCCTCGTTGGAAACCCTATACAAGGTCCCTATGAGTGGGAACCAACTCAATGACACTTAGCAACAGCAGCAGCTGCAGAGAAGTCAGCTTGATTGGGAGGAGAGCCTGTCGCAAATCAAACCCAGTGCCGTCGTCGCAGTCTCTGTAGGACAGCGTGGAACTGTCCCATAGGGTTTCCGAGGCGGGCATCTTTACGGGAGCACATAGTCTTGCCGACCTTCCTTGGCTCCCCTGGCAGGTTTCAACATCCGACCTTTTGCCTAGGAGCCTAGAACTTAACCCACTGGGCTGCTGAGGAGTCTGTATGTGTGTGGAGGGTAGGTGTGGGGGAGGGAATTACAAAAACTGGCCCTAGAGAGAAGACCTTGTACTTCCCAAGCTTTCCCCCGGTGCCAGGCGGGCACTAGCTGGGCTGAGGCCTGGTGACTCAGCCCAGCCCTTGTGTTAACTCACGTCTTCATTTCTGTGAGAAATTTCCGTGGAAATGGTTCTTTCTGAGCAACCAGGAACCAGGAAAATATCCAGGTTCCAGCCTAACGTGAGGTCATAGGCAGTGTAGACTGATAGAAACTAGGGGTGCAGGAGTCTGAGAGGAGCCCTGGTGGTACAGTTAAGCACTGGACTGCTAACCACAAGGTCAGCAGTTCAAACCCACCAGCCATTATGAGGGGAAAAGACTTAAAGTCTCGGAAACCCTATGGGGCAGTTCTGTTCTGTCCTCCAGGGTCACTGAGGCTTAGGTTTCGTGTTGTTTTCTAGTCCTCTCAGAATGGTAAGGAGAGATAAGTCATGGTCCCCTGCCTCTGGTGGGCAGTCCTCTGTGTCTGTGCAGGTGGACTGCCCTGAATGCTCAAACCCCCACTGCCCTCAGCTGTGGTCTCCCTGTAGAGATTTCTCCCAGGGTTTCAGACGATTGGCCAGTTGTCCGTGTTGTTCTATTCAGATTCATGTTCAAGGGATCATACTGCCCTCAGTGAGGCCCTACATGGGGACTCAAGCCTTCCAGGTGCTGAACTTCCGTGTCTCAGACTGGGGAACCAGAAACTACTTCTGTCATCCAGAAGTGGGGCAGGGCTTGGCCACCCACGGTGCTGTAAGCATTAGCTTTCCAGGAGACATGCTCCTGGCCACTTGGTAAGGTGCCCTGTTGGCAGCCTCCCTAGACTGAGACAAGAGTGTGATTGAGAGAGCTTGGCTTTAGGGGATCTGCTGGGTCAGTTCAATACAAGGCAGAGAGGTCAGCTCAGAAGGTTACAGAGAATGTTTTGGGGGGACTCCAAAGAAGTCCTGGGAGTCCTGGTGTGG